CCACCTACAGAGTAGGGCCTTGGGAGAGACTGGGAAGTCAGGAGATAAGCGACACCCAGTCCTATCTAGTCTGACTATTCAGATTAACCATATGCTACCTCTGTTTTCCCTTTGGTGAGATGGTAGGCATAAGCCACACACCATCTCAAACCACACTGACTCTCCAGTCTTCAGGAAATAAGACCAAGTGTTGTGATATGGAAGCCCCACTGTGGGGTCACTTACCTGTAGCATCTGGTCTCTGTTCCTACTCATGAAAGGAATCTTGGCTTTCCTTCCTCCCTCCCCTCCTTGCTACCTTCCCCTTTGTTAAGTCTCTTCTTTAACTCATCTTCCATACTGGTCATGTTGGCACACACTTTTAATCTCAACCCCCCAGGAAGCAGAAGCAGGCTGCTCTCTGTGAGTTCAAGGTCACCCTGGTCTACACAGTGAGTTTTAAGACAGCCAGGGTTACATAGTGAGACCCTGTCTTGAAAAGACAGAATTTCTTCAAACTGTTAGTCAGATAGTCTGTTTATCAGGTCTTATGCTATTAGAAAGAATATGCTTTTCCTTTCGCAGTACTGGGAACCAAACTCTAGGCCTGTGTGCTAAGGAGGTATGCTACCATCAAGTCATATCTCTGGCCTGAAAGAGTGTCCTTTGCCTGCTACTAATCATGGCCCCATCCACAATAAGCCACAACTCCTACATCCTCAAGTGTTGGTCAACCAAGCCTGGTGGAGAAAGCAATTCTTAGGATTGCAGAATTTCAGAACCATATGGGCTCATGAAGACAACGTGGTGTCCCAAACTCCCAGGCTGAAGGAAGGCAGCAACTTGACCAAGGTCACTGGGTTTATAGAGGGCTGGAGTGAGAGGCAGTGCCAGGAAGCCCTGTGGTAGACCAAACAACTTTTTTTTTTTTGACAGTACATAAACATTTTATTACCTGTATTGGTTTTCATGACTTCATGGTTTTGCTTGAGTTGCCGAAAGAGCAACAGAAGAGAATATACCTGAAGGAAGGATGACTAGATGGAGCTGGGATGAGCAACAGAAGAGAATATACCTGAAGGAAGGATGACTAGATGGAGCTGGGATGAGAGGGGTTTCCGGTTTCCTTCTCCCCGGGTTCTGTGTTGCACAAAAAGAAAGTGAGTGCCTCCCGGTGCCCACCACCATGAGGTAGAGCAAGCTAATTTATGTTTATATACGTGTTTTTCTGGGAAACCCGAATCCAGTTGGTGTCTCGAGCACTTGCTTATCTGTGCATCATTCTTCTTTTTAAATTGATTTTTGTTGAGCTCTACATTTTTCTCTGCTCGCTACCTGCCTTTCCCCTCCCTTCAACCCTCTCCCAAGGTCCCCATGCTCTCAATTTACTCAAGAGATCTTGTCTTTTTCTACTTCCCATTTAGATTAGATCCATGTATCTTTCTTAGGGTCCTCATTGTTGTCTAGGTTCTCTGGGATTGTGGTTTGTGGGCTGGTTTTCTTTGCTTTATATTTAAAAACCACTTATGAGTGAGTACACGTGATAATTGTCTTTCTGTGTCTGGGTTACCTCACTCAAAACAATGTTTTCTAGCTCCATCCATTTGCCTGCAAAATTCAAGATGTACTCCTGGGTCTTAGGAGCAAACACCTGGGCATTTTCCATCGCTTCTGAGTTGTATGGCCTTGGGCACTTTAACATCCTCAAGATTTACTTTTCTTGTCTGTGGAAGGGGACTAATGCCTTTCTTTCCAGTATGGCTGGGATTGGGATGCCACAGGAGCAGCAGTCTTTGAGTAAGGGTTAAAATTGCGACATTAATCCTGCGACAGCGTCGACTCTTGTCCTGTGCAGAATCCTTTCAGCCGGAGGCTTGTCTTGGAAAGACTGCTTTTGATGTGGATGGCGTCTTCACCAGCAGCTAACAGAATGATCACCCTTCAGATAAGGGTGCCCCACGTGGATTTCCATTTGAGATACCGTAAAAGGGAACCTGTTCCCCTGGTTGCCTCTTGCTAGGCACCACCCAAGTGATATTTGTGTGAAGTGTGCTACCTGTTCTCTGAGAGAGAGAAGTGACCACAACACCGAAGAACAGAAGGTGGAACACCCTGAGCGTTGTGTGTGTGCGTTTGTGTGTGCACGCAGGTTTGCACATGCATGTGTGGGTATACATGTGCGTGCACACGTGTGTGAAGGTCGGAGCAGAGGCTGCCTATAGGCATCTTCTTTATCACTGTGTTTTACCAGGACAGAGTCTCACAATGGAGCCCGCTGCTCCATCTACTCCTGCTGGCCATATAATCCCTGCTTCCTGATCATGATGGGATTGATCGTGATGGGATTGCGGGCAGGCCACAATGCTGCCTGGCATTTCTGTGAGGGCTGGGGATCTGAACTCTGAGCCTCATGCTTCTGCAGCCGTCCCTTTATCCGCTGAGCCATCTCCCCAGCGTAGCCCCTGCACGTGCATCCAGAGAAACACCGGGTTAGCGCTGTGTCGGTGAGGGGGACACTCTCCCTTTTAAGACTCCTTTGGCTGACTCTTGCCATCCCACAAAATTTTTTCCTCTTACATGCTTAACTTAAATTTTTCTTGGAAGTAAAAGCACTTTTTGTAAAATATTGGTAACTTAAGGCCTGTGGTGATGGTTAAGAAGAAATTTGAGTAACATGTGTGTATACCCCCACAGTTAAACTCAATAATATATATTTAAACGTTTTAAGTCAGCCAGAGTTAATTACAAGTCCATGTACAACTGCCACGTTGACCCACTGAGCGGCAACGAAGCAACCCAAGCGCATCTGGCTCAAGGGCAAGCCCCACGACAACAAATCTGCATGGAGACACGAGGACCCGGAGAGAGCGGATCGGGGTCAAGAGCCCTCTCCCTCAGAAGCCCCCTGGGAAAGAAAACCCATTTCTGTCTGTGAGGAAGAATCTACCAAAGCCTTTTTGTCTTACAGGGTTTGATTCCTTAAGAAACAGTGTTTTGTTTTTTATTTATGCAAAGAGCTATGTTAAATTGAACAACTCCTATCCCAGCTCACCCAAGGTACTCCCCAGTGGAACATGGTGAGACAGAGAGGCCACAGCCATGGGGGCTGGAATTCGATACTTTGTGTAAGCTCTGTTTAAATATCTGTTAGGTCCTAGAATTATCTATCTATCTATCTATCTATCTATCTATCTATCTATCTATCTATCTATCTATCATCTATCTATCTATCTATCCATCCCCCCCTTTCCTCCCCATGCCAGGTCTCACCCTGTAGCTGAGGTTGCCCTGGGACTCACCATGTAGTCCAGGCTGGCCTCTTTCCTTCTGCTTCAGGCTCCTGAATGCTGATATTCTGGGTGTATACCCACACCCAGCTGGCTTCTAATCTCTTTTCCCCTCCCCACCTTCCTTAGGGCCCTTTCTTCTTTAAATGAAATCAATTACATGAAATTAAAAACAATTCCCCCCCCACAACAAAACTACCAAGCTTGCATTTTCTCAAATAAAACACATCAAAATTCAACAACTAAATGATCTGAGAAAGTGACTTCTTTCTCCTCCTTCTCTTTCTCATCTTCATTTTTTCCTTTTCCCTTTGGTTTTATAATATATTTATGTTCAAAGGACAAAACTCTCAGAGACGGTTTAACACAGAAGTCCGAAGGTTTGTTGTCAGTGGCGGACCCGCGGCGCTTTCTCCAGACACGAACCTGGCTTCTCTGAGGCCTCTTCCTGTGAGGAGAGGGCTCTACGGCTGTGGACGCACATCCTCCTTACCTGTTTGCCATCCTCACCTTTTATGGGGACCGTTTACTTTTCCATATCTGCTTCATGAATTCCAGCTCAAAATTTGTCTCCCATGGCCATAATAATTTCCATTTGACCCTAGATGACTAAGCCCAGGTCTTTCGTAACGTGGAAGTTTATTGAGAGCTTTTCTGGGTCAGTCTTGTCAGAGAGTCTTGGCCGGCGAAGGGGGCACACACTATACGGTCAGTACAAATGTGCACCCGGCAGAAATCGATCCTGCCATCCACACTGGGCCAGGCCAGTGTGGGAGCCAACTTGAGGTGGAGTGGGAGGAGCTGCGGCAGGCAGCTGACATGTGTTGCCCAGGGAATAAATTCTTTCTCCGTAAGCATGATGCTCTGACTTCAAAAACCTCCGTTTTCTATACCTATGTAATTTGGCGAGACAAATTGATCTCAGGCTGCACATCCATTCCGATAAACTTCAAATATGTAGTTCTATTTTCTTTTTCATACTTTCAGGAACCAGTTAGGCTGTGGCCCAGACCTTCCTAGTTAGCTTAGCGGATTGTCCCTGCTGTCTGGGTAAGCATGCTGCCCCTTCCTACCAGTAAGCTGGTGGGCAGCCCATATTTGTAGAACAGGCATTTCGTCTTGAAGGAGACACTTGGGACATGTCCCAGGTCCCCAAAATGAGTGAAGCCGGCACCAGAAAACCTAGCTTCACTCTACAGAAAGAAGGGAGGGGGAAATGCTCCTTCTCTGGTATAAATTGCTTTAGTGGGAAGGCCGTATGTGGAGGAGAGACGGCAGCTCCTTCCCACACGAGGCCTCCTTCCCCACGCAGCTCCCAAGCATGTCTGGGCATGGAGAAACACTTACATGTGCACACCCAGATGTGGAGCTGTTTGGCATTAAACGCGGGAGAGGCAGCTGTGGAGCTGACAGGTACGGCCACGGTGCGGCACGCAGAGCTGCGTCCTCTGCTCACACACAGGCTTTCTGGAACAGCCAGGCTGTTGGCATTGTTCTCTTTTTCTTTTTGCCCAAAGCCAAACACTGGCCTTGTCAGGTCACTACAGTCTTATAAGCTTGGTGTGGCCCTCACTGCTGCAGGACTGGGACAAAGAGATGATGTTACAGTGTGGTTTCTATGGCAACAGAGGAGGAGTAATGAAAACTGAAATGTAGGAAACACCCATTCTGACAATTGTGACATAATTCAGTTTGTTACGAGGAAGTAACTATCCAAGAGGCAGAAGTGTCACTACCTGGCAGCTCGTGTTGACGAAAAGCTGCGCGGTGCATTTATCTCAGTTGGGCTGTAAATAGGAAAGAAACACCACACACGCACACACACACGCACACGCACACACACACACGCACACACACACTCAGAGCCCTCGCTTTCTGCATGTAAAATGTGTGTGTTCTTTAGAAGCCAGTGGTTGGCTGGTTTTCCGGACATGATGTGGTTGAAGCTGTCATCGTAATGGAAATTCACTGCCGTAGCTATGGTAAATCGAGTGTTCTGCCTGTGCTGAATGCATTAGTCTAATGAGATGTTTGCAGCGGCGAGCAGGGCTGTTGGAGACTAGCTGTGAGCAGTAGCACACGGGTGGAAGCTAGCGTGTGCAACACTGGGGTGCTTGTGTAGCATGCACACAGGTGGAGGATAACGCGTGCAACACTCGGGCGCATGTGGAAGAGGCACACAGGTGGAGGATAACGCGTGCAGCACTCGGGCGCGTGTGGAAGAGGCACACAGGTGGAAGATATCGTGAGCAGCACTCGGGTGCACATACAGGATATTACCTGTCTTCTAAGCCAACACTCCGACCCGATCAACACCCTGATCAGGGCTCTGGGATCAAGCTGTAGGTAAGGGAGATGCGGGCTGGAGGGTGCGCGTGATACGGGTCCTTTCCTTTGGGCTGTCAGCACAACAGGTTACCTGCTTCAGTTTATTTGGGAGGGTTTGCATGCCTGCCTCCGTGCTAAAACTACTGAGCCCAGCGGGTAAACTTCAGATCCTGAGATGAAAAATACAATGTTTGATTTCTCAACTCTATCTCAAAGGAAGATGTAATATAGAAATAGACAGTTTATATGTTTTAGGTATGGACACATTTACCTCTCTTTATCACTGCATATAAATATGTGCAAAATTTTTTAGTTTTTCAAACATGAACCCAGACAACTGTTTGCATTTTTTCCTAATAATAATTTGGCTTTGCTTTGCTTTGTTTTTACTAATTTTAGAACTGTAGTATGTTTTCGGTTATAAATATTTACCTTAAATTTGTTATTAAAATTGGTGTGTTACAAACATATATCAAAGCATTTGTTTTGTTAAATTTTATTTGCTCATTTTTGAATGTCTCAGATGGAATATTTCGTGCCTTTGTGTCGGTTGCTAATTTACCAGTCATAGGTGAGGCTAGATATTAATTGCTAGTTGCTGCTATTAGTATTTTTTTTAAGGAGGGAAACCCCAGGTTAGTCTGGAATGGTTGGAGTTTCCCCAAAACTCAAAGACTAAGTCTCCTCCTTCCCAGGCGTGGCACTGTGTGACCTGAACCGTCTTCCACTTGTCTTCCCGCAGCCCTAAGAGTTGCCTGCAGGTTGCTTGCTAACAGACAGGAGCAGAGGGTAGGGGTGTGGTGGGGAGCAAACCTTTTTTACTCATCCTTGCTGGGTTTGAGTCAGAGGAGGCTTGCTGTGCTGTCTTTCTAGGGTCGTGACATTTATCAGGAGGGACAAACCATCAAACAGCTCTCTGACAAAGTGGCTTTGTAGCTGGGATACTGGAAAAGTAATCTGGGCCCTTCAGAACCGACAAGTTTGCGGTGGGCTCTGTTTTTAATTCCGCTCCCAGTTAAGGAACTTTATTGAAGAGCGAGAGGCATAGTCACCTTTCCCTCAAGACTTTCTTCTCATAAACAAAATAAAACAAAACAAAAGAAAACGGAATGTCTGGAGTGAAAACCTGAAAGTGTAGAAATTGCTGTGAAGGACACAGCGCATGATCTGGACAGAGTGTTGCGGGGGCCTTGCATGTGTGCTGCTTTGATAGAAATGCTCGATCCAGTGAGGATCAGAGCAGCAGCTACGGCGTGACAATTGCCTAGAAAGCCAGCACTGAGTGACCATCATCCTGCAGCTCAAAGGTGAACCTAGATGTCCCCCACACAGAAGTTGCTTGGTGACTTTCCAATCTACTTTTCAAGTACAGTTGTCAACAATTTTTCAAACATAATTTTACTCCTGTTGCTCTTAAGATTGCGAATGGGGAGAGAGGAACCTTCTCCAAGAATCTGTCCACTTTGTAGAATCATAAAAGGAAATAAAGATTCCCACAAATTCCCAAATTTTATTTGTTCTCTACATTTAAATTTCTCACCCATATCACCAAAATTACTTTTATTTTATTCTTAAAAGATGTTTCTGAGCAGTAACAAGACAGGAAAGCGACGAGGGGCGCGCAGCTTCCTGCGTGCTGTGGTGTTTTCAGCAAGTGAAACCAGCTGTAGTTTCACTTTCTGGTCCTGGTGGTGGGGGTGAGGGTTGGAGGTCACAGAGAGCAGCTTCTGGGAAAGGAGCCAAACCCAAATGCAGCCACTCCCCGACACACACGCACTCCTGCTCTTTGATCTTGACAACTCAAACAAGCAAGGACTTTCAATATCTTCAACACTGCTTGCTTGTGATAAAGATTCTAACAATACCCGAAAGGACAAAGACAGACGCTTAACTTTTTTGGAAAACTCATGACCGGTTCTCCCCAAACCTTTCATAATGTGGTAGCTTTCATTTGTTTCCTTTTAGTCTTAAGGTTTCATCTCAAATGCTTGATTGCAATAAGTTTAAGGAAATACAACAGGGACTGCTCCCTGACAAATAACTTCTCTGTTGGAAAGCTGGGCTGTTGGAAACAAATTCGGAGCTTTCCTTGGGTCTGCACTTTTGTAAGACCCAAGGGCTTCTCTCACTCTCTCTCCCCGTCTCCTTCTCCCTCTCTCTCTCTCTCTCTCTCTCTCTCTCTCTCTCTCTCTCTCTCTCTCACACACACACACACACACACACACACACCTGTGACACATACTTTGGAAGAGCATTGGTTGAGCGCAGGCAAAGGACAGAATTCAGAGTTCCCTGGGACCTTTGCTCTCCCTAAGTCAGAACCCCCAAAAGCCTCAGCATCCCAGGATCCCTAGGCAGCACTGTGGCGCCTTGGGACTTAACATTCCGACTTCCTCCCGTTTCATCCCTTACATTTTGCTTGGGAACGAAGATGAAGACTACCCTTACCCCCGTCTGGTCGTCAAGGACTGTTCATGGCTTCCCTATTTCAGGGGTGATGCTGTGAGAGCTATCTCCCCGCAGGAGAGACTATTGATGGGCAAATTCAGTATTCCAGAGAGCTTTTTGAAAGGCTTCCTTGGGTTAGTTTATGTCTTAATCCTGAAGTCTCCCAAGAGATGTTGAGATTTACACATTTCCCCTTCTTTAAAAATGTTTTTGCTGCTTTCAAAGACAGGTGAGGAGAGATGGGGAATTCAAATGATCCCTAGGAGGATGAAAAATCAGATGGTTTGGTACAAATATAATGTAACAGAAGCCGCCAGGGTGTCTAGTAAATTACTCTAAATTTTAATTAATGAGACACAAAAGCCATACTACCAGCTTTAAAAATTACCCTTTTATCAATAAGGTGATAATTAACTTTCTCTAGAATTAGCGATTCTCTGAGCTCCGGGCAGTATGCCGCCTGCTAAGTTCTTTGGAAAGCTGCCAATTTTTAACAATTGGTCTTTTGGCAAACCTAGTGGTTTTTAATTCAAATATCTATTGTGGCATTTTCAGTTGTGGCTCAAAGACCATTAAGATCACTCAAATCCTGGCGAAATTTCTGAGACCGAGAGTTCAGAATGTTTGGGTTGCATTTGAATTGGTTACTTTCTTTTTCTTCACTTTCTCAGGGCGTTTCTGTCTTTTCCTCCCCAAACTCCAGTGTCTGTAGGAGTGCAGTCTTCTGGCTGCAGGCTGCTGGGAGCTTTAGTGACTGATCTGGTTTGCAGGTGCCTGCACAGCCGCAGGTTCGTTCTTGTTGGGTTTATTTTATCTTGGTTTCAGTTCTAGTGTGTGTGTGTGTGTGTCCTGTCTCCCACCCCTGTGTCTTCCCCTGCATTTCAGCAAGCTTGCACTGGTGGGGGGGGGGGCTGTCATCAGATGCAAAGATTTAGATGGAGACTTGAGGGGAAGCTCAGGCCAGAGACCTTTTTGGTTGTGTCTAGTTTGCATTTTAGTTGATTTACCTAAAGTGATGGTTATGGGTTGCAGGAACCTAGTGCTCCCCATCTCAGGGGAGGTTCCATCAGAACCACACACGTCATACCTCACACAACACACACACACACTCACACATGCACACACACTCACACACATCACACATACACACATTCACACACATCACACACACACTCACACATACACATACATTCATATACACACACATCACACACACTCACACATATCACATCACACAACATACTCACACAATCACACTCACACACTCACACACATACACACATTCACATACATCACACACATACTCACACATACACATACATTCATATACACACATCACACACATACATCGCACACACACACACACACACACTATTTTGGTCAGGCTGAGGTGCTAGTGTTAAGGTCTAGGCAGGCAGTTCTCACTGAGACAAAGATGCCCCTTAGCCAGATGTGTGTGATTCGGAGGAGCCCTTTAGCCGCAATTAAGGAGACAGTGCTCCTCATGTTGTGGGGGTGGTTACAGCCTGGGTTACTCCTTTGGGGAAGAAAGAAATTCATCACCCAGGGGCAGTCCTGAGTTTGTGCTCAACTACATAGTCACTTTCCAGTGTCCTGGTGACACCCTGAAGCCCGGGGAGTGTGTCCTTGGCTCTGCAAGCAGGCCGCTGTCTCTTTCACCCAGACATCATCCCAGGGCATCATGTCTGTAAGGAGAAAACCAGGATTAAACACAAGCGGTGTTTTTCCTGAATGTCCTCCAGTCACGCGTGTTCTCAGAGTGTCTGTGTCTGAGACTCTGCTGTGGCACTGGCCTCGAAGCCAGCCTGGGATGGCCTCAGGATTTGAATTTTGTTTTGCCTGGCAGCTGTGAATGGGAGAAGTGGAGAGAAAACACATGGTAGAAGTCAGCTGTGGGGCCTCATGCTTTCGATTCTGGAAATGAGATTAGAAGTTTATTTAACTAAGAGATCCCTTTGGGCCTAACCATTTCTGGACTATTACATCTTATGCAAGACTCATTCTTTATGTGCCTATGTATGTGTATGTCCATGCATGCATATGTGCACTTGTGTTTTGTGGAAGCCAGAGGTTACTATCAGGAGATGTCCTTAATAGTTATCTAGCCTTTTTTTTTTTTTTTTTTTTTTTTGAGGTCTCTCTTGAACCTGGATCTTGTTGATTGTCTAGATGGCTGGCCAGTAGGCCCTCGGAAGTCTCCTGTCTCTGTTTCTCTAGTGCCTGGATTCCATGCTTGCCCACGGTGCCTGGTCTTTCATGGGCTGTGGGCAATCCAATGGTTCTCATGCTTACTCAGCAGGTCGCTTCACCGAGTGGACGGAGGCATCTCCAGCCCTGAGCCTCATCCTCCTTTTTGGCTTTGCAGAAGAGAGGCTGGCTTCCTGCCCTCACCACTGCTAGGCTCAACTGCCGTCCCATTTGGGAAGGTGAGGAGATGTCAGCTCTATCAGACCATGAACCGTGGAAATGCTGGGTATTCCAGAGACAGCGGCCGAGATTACTGTAGAAGGCTTTGGGTGTGGTGTGCTGATCAGTACAGTACGCCCCCT